AAGTTCTTTGTTTTTTTCTGTAACATTTTCTGAAAAAATGAATACTTTAAAGATAAGATTATATATATTAATTATACGAAAAAATAGCCTATAATGAGGAGTTTACATTGAGATCATCGATAAAGATTTCGCCGACAATGCTTTCATTGACATTATCTCGTCGAGACCATGTCTAGTCAGTAGTATGTACATTTACTGACATAAACATTGACCCACATATACATTTACTAACTTTTGTGTACCGTTAGCAAAGCACATCTTTAGATAATATCTCTCCAATATTTCCATTTAAAAAGCATAAGTATTATTTTGTACTTACACTCTATGTTTTATCTTCGTTGCATATTCGATTAAGCTCGCAATTAATTCGTCCTCTTTGTAACGATAGAATTTTACCTATTTTGCGGGAGTTTTGTTTCCAATGACCGAAAATTTCTGGTAAAAATAGAGTGCATTTGTCGATGAATGCGAACGTACCAATATTGCCGCTGAAATTTGGTGTCAACGAAATGGTTCCAACGAACATATTGTCGGCAAACTCTTTGTCGGTAACTCTTTGTCTTCAATGTAATGGGTTCACAAAAAAATCAGGTATAAGGTATACAATCAGACATATACGCACCAGGTATACGACCATAAAACATAAAAAAGCCCTGATTACCGAGATACAATAAGATAATTCTCAAGACTATTTGGAGGAGGGCATAATTAGTTCCATAAAAATCTTTTCTATTGAACTTTCTCGTAAATAAGAACATGAAATAATTTTATCCTTATTTCTATATTCTTATTCTTATTTCAGACCTTTTTTTCGTAATGCTATACGCTATGAGCGGGTAATTCCGTAATATGCCGAAATAATTTCTAATACGTATCACACAACTTTAATTGTAAGTGTAGAAAGGACAGTTAAAAGAAATATACATGTTATCTAGTGCGACCGTTGCGTGCTGTCGGTTACTCCCCGTCGGCTAATGGACGCCATGTCGGAGGACGCCGACGGGATCGATCAGCAAAATGACGCGACTATTCATTGTCATAAACGTTTTTTAGCAGCTCTCAATACACATTGTATTGAGAGCTCCACATAAATTTTCGACGTTTTTGCGTCTTTTTACAAGGGATGAACATAGCGCGAACTATTCTAGATTTAACCAAAATATTTGTTATTCAAGGAAGTAAAAATATTTTTTTTGAAATACAATTGTATATGTATAAGAAATTAAAACTATTCCATTACTTTTTTATGTCGAAATTAGTGTTGTTTTCATTATGGTATCTAAGAAAAAAAAGAATTGAAAACGCATTATGTGTCATAAATCTATGACAAATAGATTCAATGCTTTCAATGAAATCACAATATTGTACAAAAGGCTTTATTTCTTTTCTTAAATATTTGTTTTGAAACTTGTTTAAAAGTTTCGTGATAAATTTTATTATTGTCGAACTTACACCAATTCTAACAAAGCGTCGAAAATAAAAATGCTTATCGAGATTTTATTCCTTTTTTAAAGATATTTATTCTCCAGATTCTAACATCTCTTTCTCTAAACTTGC